TATTACACACAGCACAAAAATGAATAAGACATGGTTTTATCATATAGGAGCTTCCAATCTAGTAGACAGGAGACACAAAATAGTCATTCTAAATACAAGGCAGCATGCAGTAAGAGGTTCAGATGAGGCCCTAAGGGAGTGGTGTGTGTGTGTGTGTGTGTGTGTGTAGATTAATTCTGCTTGGGGCAAGAGCTGAGAAAGACATTCTGGAATAGGTAGGATTTGAGTTAAGTCTTGAGAAATGAATATGGATAAACATACAGGAAAATAGCCAAAGTTTGTATTACTTTTCCTTATTAGTAGATGTGAATGTATAAATGTGTACTGGCCTCCAATTCTTGTTGAAAGAAAAGGCTAACCTTTCAGGATACATCCATGTAATCCAATCAAAAGTGCAGAACTATGGTACAAGGGCAGAGTGATATACATGACATCATCTTCCTCAATCCCACTTGCCACAGCCAGGCCAGTTCCATACCATATGCGGTGATGAGTGATCCTTGCTGCTTTTGGGAGACCTTTGCAAAGATACAAGAGAAGTCATGAATGAGCCAAGATTGGCCACTCATAGACATGCAGTCTGGGAGAGAAATCTGGTTTAGGAAGATTAATCATCCTGTGTTTAGACAATTGCATAGTGGAGCTTCATGATCAGTAAGACCAGGAGTCAGCAATTTTTTTTCTGTAAAGGACCAGAAAGTAAATGCTTTAGGCTTTGAGACCACTCAACTCTGGTGTAGCATGCAAGCAGCCACAGACATACATAAATCAGTGAGCATTGCTGTGTTCCAATAAAACTTTATTTACAAAATCAAGTGGAGGGCTGTATTTGGCCCACAGCCCATAGTTTACTGACTCCTGAGTTAGACAGTTATTACAGTAGTAATCTGAAGAGAAAGGGAGCGAAAGGAATGAATGGTTATTGAATTTCTGCTCTGAATTTTAGCCTTTGAAAGATATGTTTAAATATTTCATTTAATCCTTCTAACAACTTTATGAGGTAAGTAGAATTATATTCTCCAATCCACAGATGAGAGGGCTAAGAGATTAAATGACTTGGTATCATCAGTCACACAGCTGTAAGCAGCTGTGCTTTCTTCTCTCTCACCAGGCTCCAAGTGTTCTGAGGGATTAGGATGGCATAACAGCAGTGGGATGAAAAGAAAAGGAGAGATTCAAGGTACATTTTGAAGACAGAAAAAATTGGATCTGGTGACTGACTTGGTAGGAGGGAATGAATAAAGAAGATGTAAGAGCCAAAACATGACTCTACACCTTGAGGCTCTAGTCCCTGGAAGAGTTCTTTAGAGACCTGGGGAGCCTGGGAGGATGTGAGGGATGGGGGGTTAGATCATGAGTTCAGTTTTGTTCATTATGATTTTGACAGAATGTTCAGAAATGCCAAGATCTTGTGGGAAACAGAAGGAAGACTGTACTGGGTGGAACTGGGGTTAGGTTGTGGAGTCAAGACAGAGGCTTGGGCAAGGAGTGGAGGGCCAGTAAGGGAAGGTCTTGACCATCAGACTGAGGAGTTCAGTCTTAGCCCAAAAGGGTGACTGTAGACTCTTCAAGCCCAACTTCAGGGTCGATGAGTTTAAATTCAGGTAAAATATTCAAATTTATTGAAAAGACAGTAGGCTACCTGTAATTGTTTGAAATGATAGAATGGAGAGAAAAATGTATGCAGGTACTTAAGGAAAAGATAGGAAACTTCAAAGGCTTTTGGGCTTGGAATGGGCCATCTTAAGCCAAGTCCCCCAGTTATTGGGGGCAATAGTCAGGCTCCTTTGTGTTCTACTTT